GACCCCAGGCCACCACTGCCAGTTCCAGACCTGCCCCCATATACCCCAATTTTAAACTGGCCATGTGGGCTGCCTCACCACTTCAAGTTGGCCATACCCCTTCTCTCCTGTTTGAGTGAGTTAGCCATGGTCACCAAGCCCTGTCTCACCCCAAGAGAGCAGACTGGCCCCTCCCCCACCCCGATCCACTTGGTGGAGTCAACCCTGTACTCCCTCTGTCATGGCCCTCCTAGATCTTGCCCCCTTGCCTCCCCCTCCCGTCTCGCCCCGTTTGAAGGGGTGGCCCCCTTGACTCCCCTCTCCCCCTTCTCAAAGGGTATTTGTACTCCCCCGTCCAGTCTCCCTCTGTTTGAGGGGTAGGCCCCTTTCTCCCCACCTTACCCCGTTTGAGGGGGTTGACCCCGTACTCCGTGTGCAGTTTCTGGCACCGCAGCTCCTTCCGGACGGTCTCGCAGAAAATCTGGTTCTGATGCACCAGGTCGGGCGGCTCCTTCTCGCGGCCCCGTGCCGCCATGACCGGCCCCGCTCCCGGGAAGCGGGGAACGCAGCGCTTGCGAATTCTCAGCAATTAAGTTTGTTTCATTCTTGTGTCCTGGCAACCGCGATTCGCCCCCGAGCCTTGTTTCAGAGCAGCAGCCGTGTCCCTCGCAGAGGACTTGCTGATTGGTGCGGGTCAGACCATGCCCCTCGATCAGCAAAGCCCCGCCCCCAGTTCCAATTGGCTCTCGAGTTAAAAGTCCCGTTGCTGATTGGCTATGTTCCCAGCCGGCATTTTTTAATCTCCGTCTACGTCGTCTAGAAGCCGCTGGAGTCCCCAGCGCAGAGCGAGATTCCCAGACCGGAGCCGGGAGCCGCCGCTGCAGCCGCGCCTGGCGAGTTGGGGGCAATCGCCGCCGCGGCGTCGGGTCCGGATCCCCCGCCAGCGCTTGGCAGCCCCGCCGCGCCGCGCCGCGCCAGCATTGCTGCCCCTCGGAGGGAGACTGAGCCGGGGCCTGTCGCTGCGCCGCGGCCCAGCGGGTGGAGCTGGACGCGGGCTAGGGGCGGTGGGGCCCTGGGCCGGGCGGACGCCGGTCGCCGGCCGGGCTGAGCGCTGCGCTGTTTGCGTCAGGGAGACGATGCAGGGCGCGGAGCTGGACGCTCGGATCCGCTGCAGTGTCACTCTCGAGCGCCTGAGCCCGAGCGGCCCGGCCCCGCAGCGCCGGGTGATCCGCGACGCCTCCCTCGCCCTGGGCCGGAACGAGTTCCGAGAGCTGGTGCTGCAGGTGAGCGACGGCAGCGCGGCGCTGAGCTTCGCGCTGCGCGGGGAGCTGCGGCTCTTCACGCGCTTCGTGCGCCACGGGAAAAGCGGCCTGCAGCTGGGCCCCGCGCACCCGCAGCTGCTGATCGCCAACTGCCCCCCCGACCGCCTCAGGCGCTTCCTCCGGCTGCTGCGCGTCAAGCACGAGGCGGCGGGGCAGGGCGCGAAGAGCGTCACGGAGCGCGCGCGGCTGCTGTGCAGCCTTCCGCGGACCTTCGACACCATCAGCCCAGTTCAGGCCCGGGACGTGCAGCGGGTCTGCGATCCGCGGGCCCACGCGAGCTGCGAGGCGACGCCTGTGAAAGGGCAGGACCGCGGGAACAGCGCTCTGTGGGGCAGGGCTCGGAAAAGGGCCAGGGCAGAGTCGGCTGAAGCAGGCGCTGTAAGAGATCCCCAGGT